TTGCATATCTATTGTCCTACAAAATTTTTATGGCTATCCATAGATAGTGCTTCAGGTATGAGAGAAAATGTTCATGTAGCAGCAGCTGCAGGCAGCCAAATGAAGCATTTCACAGCACCTGCTGCTGTCTTCTTCTGGGGCTAGATTTGCCCAATCACCAGGAATTACTCTTAGCCTCAGAGTTAACACTGTCAGGGAATTCATGAAACTTATTCCCCTGGACCCTCAAGGACTGTCACCAACCAAAGGCCTTTCAAATGGTGGCCTCCTTCAGAGAGAAAGACTTCTCAGATCGACAGTCACAGAGAAGAGAAAACCAACCTGGGAGATGATAATTTGAGTTCTTCTATTCACTCCACAAATGAGAGGAAGATGAGGGGAAATCTTCCAGCTCTGTCTTATATCCATGAACCATAACCCTCATAGAAATGAGAGGACTGTAGACTTCAGTCTTAGCTTTCTACCTACCTAAACTATTATAGGAATTTTGTATGTTTTTTGAGGAATCGCTCCAGTGGAAATTAGATTTTTTTTTTGTCTGCATAAGCTGAGTACTATTCTGGTTTTATTACCCTGAAGATGAATGGCTGGGATGGAGGGAGAAAAGAGAATAGAGAAGGAGGGTCTACAAATGGTCATTAGAGATCCACAGGCTTCATCTCCTGCAGCCAGGGATGCCTTCCTCTACTCCCCACTGGTCACTTTCGCTCCTCTCGGAACCCTTTCCCTGAATTGGCTGGTGGAGTGAGGACCTGAGGTCTTGTCACGCTCTGCCTTCTGCTGGATTAGGTTCACTACAGATTCGTTCAATGGTGAATCACTAGGTATCTTAAAAGAGACCTCACCATATAAGCGCTGAGCGAGGTCACTGATCTCCTGAATTCTTTCTTCTTGCTGAGGCACTGAGGGTGTGATAAACTTTTTGAACTGCTGGTGGAGAACTTCCACAGCTTCCTTTGTCGTGCACTCTGTGGCATATTTTCCAACTCTTACAACTGTAGCACTTGCATCTTCATACCAAAAGTGACACTAAATTAAAATGGGACAAAACATAGATTAAAGAGACACCATCCTTCCAAAGTTCTTCATTTTGACCACTGAAGTATCAAATTTCAATTTCCTCAACATTTATATTCACATTAGTGGGAACTCCCAGAGGCCTAATATAGAAAAGATCAAAACATGGTCATATACTTTTGCACTTGGAAATGAGAGTCAGATAAGAAACAAGTATGGAAATTCGTTTGATTTTCCAGCCTCCCTAGATGTGCCTGAAGCATAATTCCTAAAATGAATGCTGCAGGCTTACAAGAACAGGCAGTATGAAAAGCATATGGCGCTAAAAAGAATCCAAATGTCAGCTAAAGGAAAGAGCGCAAACACACAAATCCAGCCTCATTAACTGAAATCATTAACACACGGATAAAGTATTGCCCGAATAACACTCTAATAAACAAATTCCCTTTTAAGAATAAGATTTAGTCTACAGATTGAGGAAATATCACGTGAAGAATAGCCTTTAAACTCTTCTTAATAGAAAATAGTCGTATTTTCAAAGCACAGTGGAGAATTGAGACAGTTTCTCACCAAAAATAAGTAACTATGATGGAAGAAATGTGTCTGACCAAGGCCAGAAGCACTTAGGCTGAGTGAGAAATAGAAACACATGACTCTGTTAGGAGCTGGCTTTAAATAAATGCCACAGAAGTACAGCAAACCTATACATCAGATACACAAGAATGATCATCACGGTCCTCCTTAATGTGCTGTGAAGTCTAAAAGCTCTACTGCATTTGGTGTAGAGAGAGGTGTTTTCTATCTCAGAATAATGGCCACAAAGAACACTCAGGAACTTCAACTGTAGAGTTTCTTCAATACGAAGTGTGCAAATAACTTTATCCTGCCACATTTCATATAATTTATGTATACCTTGCCATTTATCCTCTTGACAAAAACAAAACCAATAACAATTTCTGTACCTGAAAAATCCAAGTATCACCTTTCTTTCTAAACATTTTCAAAATCTGTGAAATAAATAAGTCATTTTGAGTAGTTTAACAGATATCCAGCAATTCCTTGATGGTTAAACATCTTGAGTTGATGAGGTTATGGAGAAATGAGAACCTCTCTTATGGTGCTGGTAAGAAGAATAAATTAGTAAGATCTTCCACAATCAAAACCTTGTAACATGCATCCCTTTTGGCCCAGCAATCCTACTTTAGGAAATTATCCTAAGGAAATAATCATGAAAAGGAACATGATGCATGAATTTAACGACAATAGCTAATGCCGCATTGTTTTAAAGCAGCAGAGTAATTTTAAAAAGTAGTATTACAACACGGATAATGTTACAACAAGAAGAGGATACCTCTTCTATCAACTCCTGGAGATGCTCAATCAGGTCCAAATTCTTCCTGTAATCTGTCACAACTTTGTCAAACTCATCCACATTTTTCTGCAAATCCTTCATGGCTTCTGAAAGGACATTTGCTTTATCATTTGGATAATTTAAGAAAAAAGTTTTATTCTCAACTTTTTCCATTTTCCTTTTCAAAACCTGTGCAAAACAAACATTTTAAAATGACATTCAATTTTTATTTCCAAGGCTAGTTAGTGATGAAATATTGAGGGGGAAAACTTGGAAAAACTTTTATATCTTCCTCCATTATGATATGTTAAAGTCATAATTCTTAAAATACATTTTGGAAAGAATGCATTTTCCTCCAGACAGTTTATCGATTCAGCATTCAGCAAACATACATAAAATTGACTATACACCAGGATCTAGTCCATATTTTGAGAATGATACTATGAGTTTTCAAAGACAGTGATCATGAAATGAAATATTTTACTGTCTTTAATTAGCTCACTGTCTCCTGAGAAAGGCACTCAAATAATCTAGCCAGGATATGAGATAATCAAGGAAGGTATAAGGGGCTGCAGGAGCAGTGGAGGAAGTTACTGACATAGGTGGGTGCAAGGAAAGAAAGCAGGGTGTACAAAAGCGGGGGGTATGTGTGCATGTGTGCGTGCGTGCGTGTGTGTGTGTCAAGAATAGAAATAGTGAGGCTGGGCAGGTTTGGCAGAAATCATTCTGGAGCTACTTCAAGAGATAAATCAATGTAATGTATTTTACATGAAGTACCCAATTGTTACAAAAATTGAAAACATTCTTTTCAGTCCTAATGCTCTAAAAAAGCCCCAGGGTTAGATACCTAGAATTGACATGTAAACATTTGCAATCATTGTAGTAGCACACACACACATACTTTCTCATTACCTGTAATTTTTCAGCATACATATCGACTTGTTGAATTTGATATTTAAGAGTCTTCAGATTTCGAGCTTTTTCATTCTTTTTAGTGTAATTAAACTTCAAATTGTTGAATTTCTTCTTGATGTCTTTGAATGACTCTTTGAGCTGCAGTTCAATAAGAAGAAAGAGGTGATTTTCTTAAAATGAGAATCCTAATATTCACTTGCAATAAATCAAAATAGCTACACTTCAAAATATTCATAACCTTCAAAATGTATTCAGAGTGACTTTCAATAGAAAATAAGTCTGCTAAGTGAATGCATAATGTGAATTTAGACATATCCCCAAAATATAGGTAATTATAAATTGTTCTTAGTATTTTTTAATTTATAATTTATAATTAATATTATAGTTACAGAACATCCTTTGGCCTTCAAACAAGAAAGTTTTTAACATATCATACATTATCAACAATACTAATTTTCGTATTCGAATTAATTTGACACCATTTTCCAACTCATTCTGTTCTCTGTGTACTAACATTTGTCTCAGATCCTTTCATAGTGCAATACTCTTAAAGCCATCATGAATACATTTATTAAGGCTCCAAGGAGCTGTTCATGTTGCAGAGGTCAATGGAGTGCTGACATTTAGACCAATGAGGACATTAGTGGGGTGAAAGGTGACACCCAACATGAGAACCAGCAGTAGGAAAAGGACTTTATTTGCCCAAATCCAGTTACAAAATTTGTTCACAGGCAGTTTCCAGAAGAGATTTACTTTTTAGAGACAAGCCATTAACTTCAAAGGTCCCTCAAAAATGGAAAGTAAAATGCCAATTGCTACTGATGGTGGCCATGCTAACTTGTGTATCAACAGAGTGTATGGCTATCCACTGAAAACAGGGCTTAGATTATGACTTTTTAAGAACAAACAGTTCAGCTTTACCAGTGAACCAAACTTCTAAGCCGTCTAGTTCCATTAACCACACCGCTTTCTGTGCCCTTCTCCATATTCAAGAAGGATAAACATATTGACAGGCAGCTCACTCTTCATATTATCAGCAACGAGAAGTACAGGGAAAACATAAACCTTCTCAGATTATATGGAAGCATTTAACAGCCAAGAATGAACAATGTCACAGTTGATAAATTTGAGCTATGACAAGAAAAGTCAGAAAGACATTAAAATTCTTTTCAAAGACAGCAAATAAATTATTTGGGAGGGAATAAAGGCTGTGCACATGCTGGAGTACAGACTTACAATACAGAGAAATATATCTTCCCTAGAAAATGCCTGCTTTCTCAAATGCTTATTTCAAATTCTGCATATTGTAAAAACAAAACCTTGACCTTTATCTCCACTTCCTGAAGACAATGATCTATAAAGCCCCCACCAAACTGCATACATGGAAATTATTACACTAATGCAATTTTTGTGCCTGCCACACCTATACTTAAACAGTGTTGCTTATTTTATAAGATAAATGAAGTTGTTGAACATTAGTTTTAAATTATAAGGCCAGAGACCACATAAAACATTCAAACTGATAAATCGGTAATATTCCAAAGGAGTGGAAGGAACTATAACTTTAAAATTTGACAATGATTTTTCTATTAGAACTCAGGAAAATATTTAAAAGATCGTATTCAATTGAAATAAATCATTAATATTTAAACTCTTTGACATTTGATGTTTTAATATGCACATATTTGATATTAGTGGGAAAGGACAAATGAGGTCAATTTTACAGGACTGAGATATAAAGGGACCACTGTTGGTTAATCACATAAAACTCTGGCAGGAATTTTTTTTTCCTGAAGTCATAATCTGCAACTAATTACTACCACATCTGAGGAAACCAGAGACTCTTGCATTAAAAAGCATGTCCTCAGTAGGGAGTTCCTATCCAGTTAGTACAGAGTTTCCATTTGGGATGATGAAACGTTCTGGAAATGAACAGTGGTGATGGTTGTATAAGAATGTGAATGTGCATAATCTCACTTAACTGGACCCTTAAAATGGTTAAAGTGGTAAATTTTATATTATGTTTATTTTACTACAGTTAAAAATAGAAGTTTTATTTTTAATAAAAATAAAATAAAAAGAAAAATGAAAAGAAAAAACACGGTCACTAACATGTATCCATTGGAAAATAAAATTTTATAGTCTCTTTTCCATGTTTCTGGAACATACTATATATTATAAACGTCAGTCTAAAGAAAGGAAGAGGAGCTCTGTCATCAACCTGATAACCACTGGGTCACATTTGCTTGTTTAAATGGGAAAAATCATCATCTATTTGAAAACCACGTGCTGAACGAAGAATGGCTGAGCCTTAACACTTTAATTCGAAGCCATGACATTTTAAGAATACTTTAGGTTAAGAAATTTAAGACCGATAAATGATGAGTCTGATTTTATTTCCGCTGGCCTCAGAATGTATGCACTTCCACTGAAGATGATTTATAAGGCCAAAGCATGTTCATGTGTTATGGGTATGTGAAATGAGATCAGTTTCTTTCTGACACATGAGCTCCTTTGACAAAGTTGCTGGCACTTTTCTCTTTGGAGCCCACTGGAAATCCATTTTAAATACTGTGCCTTTCCCAGCTCAAATTCAGGACTGCAGATGCAAGGGACAGTAGCAGGCAGGAATGACCTCCAGCAACTAGATTTTCAGAAAAAATCTAGCCGTGCCTGATTTTCTTACTTACACATTCCAATATGAAAACCTAACTTCCCATCTAATCCCCACATAACTTGTGGTCATATTTTTAAAGTGCCACGGTTGCCCGGCTGTGGTATCATTGTTCACGCAGCTGTTTCTAACTTTAGTTAGCTCGTCAACAATGGGGAACGGTGGCGATGGCTAAGACAACTGCTCCGCAGGAGCCCAGAAACAGGGAAAGACACCCAAAGCCTGGGGCAAGAGAAAGTTTACCCTCTTCAAAATCTTTCAACAGTGTTCTAATTCATACTAACAAAGTTTCTGAAAGTCATAAGAAAATCAGGAGAAAGATATTTTTTCCAATGAATAGTGTGATTTTCCTATCTCTCCACTTACTCAGCTCCTCCATATTTGCTGTGGAATAAGCAGATTGATTTACTATATCTAGAATTGGAAACAAAAATCATTAAGACTTTAAGACTAGTTCTTTTGAAACTAGCAGAATGAGCATCTTCTCCAAATTTCCCAGGGAGCAGTAAGCCCCTCTCAGCGTCAGGAATAAGTGAAACTTCTTTGAGAAGCAGCAGAAGGGAACGAGAGGGAGAAAAACGAGGCTGGCTTGCTATTTTTAGTCTTGACGGAGCTGGTTGAGGCCACTTTGGCACATGAATGTATTATTTGCGAGTCTGTGGCTGGTCAGCCTGATTTATGGCAGGCACATGGGACATTTTAAAACTAAGAAAATGTATTTAAAACAAAAGCCTTTCGTTAGAACTATGACCCATGATTGGCCAGAAGCAAAAATACAAAACAAGTTGTCCATTTCTCTTAATGTCTATTTCACAAGCTTCATTCCTCACCCACCATTTTGTCCACTCCAGAAAAAAAAAAAAAAAAACAGCTTTCTGATGCTCGTTTCCAGAAACAGAAAGAAGGATGCAACCGTATCACTTCCCAGGGATGCTTGCATTGGAAAGGAAGGGACTCAAAGACTCATAATTTAACCTGAATGACTTGCTACAATTATTAATGGTAGAATATGTAGCCTTCAGTGCTGGGGAGACTTGGGGATGAGACTTTCTTGGCCTCCTTCCAAACAGCAACCACACGGCTATCTTCCTGTGCTAACGACCAGTCTTGTAGAAGCAGGAAGTGGGGAAGCTTGGAAAGAGAAGACAATTGCTCCATTTTAAAGGGAAGGTGGCAGCCTATCTCAGTAATAGTTACTTTATCCACTCTGCAAGTGTTGTGTGTTCATAATATATTTCAGTTTCATTTTCTGGGCATGAGAGCTGTGATTTTAACCTTCAGCTCTCTATCTTCTTCAGCAAAAGAGTCATTTTGCAAATGTTAAACACCAAACTTTGAACAGATCTTAACCCCATGGGATGGACATTTTCAGAGCAAATTATAACCTTTTCTGTCCTCTCACCTAGAGCATCCAAATGGACTCACAGTGGGGCCTAGTAATGAGCGCTGGTGACTGGCAGGTCCCCTGGGCTTTAAGTTGCCCTAGACTCTTAGTTTGCTGAGGACTTCTGTCTTCTTATGTATGGCCTGGCACACAGTAGCTACATGATGATATTTGTTGAATGATGACAATTTAGGTTTTTTTTTCCTTAAAATGATGCGTTAAGGTCACCAATCTGGAAAATAATAATTATCTGTACTACACCATACTGCAGCCCCATCAGGGGTTTTGTCCAACTATACCCTCTTTTTTCTCCTTCCTTTCCTGCCAGTTGATGTCTGTCTGTAGCTATTCTGTCAATAGCAAAGCACCAAACAATATCAGGAAGTTAAATTTTATTAGTTGTGTATATATATCTCTGTGGCACTATTCCCCTATACTAATTTACTGCTTCTAATCTTCCTTATCTCCTTGGAACTTAGATAAATCACTTCCTCAAATTGACAAAAGAATCCATGTGACTGGAACAAAAGACTCTGACATATGGAATACATATATATATATTTATCTTCATCCCTTTTCTGTTTCCTTCCTGATGGGTAAGATGTTGCTACAGTGTAAAAATTTCAGGCTGAAGTAATATAATTATATGAAAGCTTCTGTTCACAAAATTTATTTTGAGAAAATGAATACCAATCCATTCTGTCATTACTGTTCTTTTCAGCAAAGTAATTGTTTGTGATCCATAATGAGGCTCCAGTGACAAATTTCCATTAACATCATGTAAATGTGAAAGTAATTTTTTTGGTCAGGTTGCAAGAAGAAAACATGCTCAATATTAACTTACTACTTTTCTAAAGAAGACGTGTAAAGAATAAGTAACAGATGGTGTTCTGTCATGTAATGTGGCAGAGAACCTCT